TACTTAACATCAGAAAGAGAGAGTTGAAATTTCTAGAGCCCATAATGAGGAAAGAGGGCTTAGAAAATTTGACACTAACAGGACATATGGAGATGAAAACAGCGCACAATCCCTGCCTAACGAGCATATGTAAATGGTTGGTAGAACAGGAATTAGGCGAGATAGCAAAAAGACAAAATGTACTAATCAGGACAGTAAATCGGAAAGATCCATGATCGCCCACGTCCTGAATGGACACGGCACAAAGGAAAAAATCAAGAAAAAAAGGAGGAGGAGTAGAAGAAGGAAAGAGGAGGAAGGAGGAGGAGGAGGAGGGAAAGAAGAAGAAGAAAAAGAAGAAAACTCATCAAATGTTTCAATTACTATGAAAATAAAAAGAATATTCAAACATCTCGTCTTTTCGGGGAACTGTTTTTTTCGTTCTTCTTTGGTTATATATATATATATTTTTAATTCCTGTCATCAACGTTGTAGGCCAGTTATGAGCAAAAGACACATTTTACGGTGAGTGTCTGCAGATGGCTTCGGATTTGTTTGTCCTTGTCCTTGGAAGCAACCATTTTCATCTCTCTTCTCCGCATCGATGAATTTATCGTGTACCGTTGATTATCATCAAACCTCGAGGGAGCAAAGTACTGAAAAAGAAGAAACACTTTCGCAGGCAGATGAATTCTTTTTGTTCTTTTAACGGCTCGTCAGACTTAATGAGATCTGGAATTTTTAATATTATTGATAGCACCTTTGCTTATCGGAGCAGCTGAACAAGTTCGGCAAATTGAGTTAATTCTCCGATACTCGACTGCTTGGCCAGTGTCCTTTTTTCTGCTCGATCGAAATAAATTCACCATTCATTTTCATATTTATTTAAGATTCAGTTATTTATTTTGATACAATTACTGTTTACTACGAAACACTTAAAAAAAAAAATTATCATCTTATTACATTTTTTTTAAATTGGTTCTACCCCATGTAAGGCATTAAAGCCACTAAAACACAAGGGGTTACTGAGTGTGGAAGAATTAGGAGCAAAACATTAATAATGAGAGGGGAAAAGAAAAGAGTAATGAGGACAGCAGATGGCGATTGACATTGCATTTAAATTTTTGCAGATTAAAGTTGGCTGGAAAGCAGGGAGCCGGAAGGGAATTCCACAAGCGAGAAGTGCGAGAAAAGAAACTGTTAGCATAGAACTTACGGTTACATCTAGTCCAGCTCAACTGTAAATTGATGAGATCCCGGCGCCAGTCTAGTACTGCGCTTAAATTCAAAACGTCAAGGTACCATGGCGAAAGCTCATCCGAACAATTACTATAAACCTTAACCCTAACATATGAATTAAAGTTTCTAAAATTCAGTCACAATTTTAATATCATGATGGGAAAAAACCCTCAGCATAGCACAGTAAAATTAATTCAATTCTTTTTGTATAAAAAGTTACTTAGTAAGCGGGCAATAAATCGCCACTTGCTTTTTCCTAAGCGGGCCCAGTAAATGGTATTTTTTACATTTATTATTTTTTAGTTTCGTTACTTTCTTATTGTTTATATTATATATATATATATATATATATATATATATATATATATATATATATATATATATATATATAAATATATTTGAAGTTATTTAAATTTTAGTTGTTTTAGTTTTAAATATTTTGTCTTGATAAAAAGAAATGAAAAACGCGTACACTGCCAGGAATTTGCATTCGAAGAAATTCATTTTCTTTCTTCAAAGTGAATTACTTACGAAGATGAATTACTTGCCAGCACTATTTTCCTTATTTCCCTTGCATAAAACATTTCATATGTGAGATAAAAATCTCTCAATGTAAAAAAAATACAAATCTCTCTCAATGTAAAAAAATACTCTCTCAATGTAATTTACATATGACCATTCAAATCACGAATTTTTTTTTTTTTTGCAATCTTATTCTTTTTTGCTGTTGTTGTTGCTGCTGCAGCTGCTGCTGCTGATGATGATGATGCGGATTCATATCGAAACAAAAGCCTTGATTCATATTTTTTGCTTGACTTCTGAAAATGTAAACGTTTCTAACAATTTAATTAAGATTTAACAATCATTTTTGTTTGTTTCATTGATTTGTTCTGCAGTCGAATTTCCCGTGATTCGAAAATGTTTTCCTTTTATTTGTACGGTGAAATTAACTAAAATTCTATTAACGACATTTTAATGAAAACTCAACAACAGTCTGGGTCAGAAGCGGCTTAATTAATCAAACGCTGATTAATCACTAATTTCTACTGAATTTTTCTTTTTTCTATCTTTCAACCAAATCTTCGCAGTCTATATCGTCAAAATGTCTGCATTTTAAATAGTCTCAAGTGGATAAAATGGAAGTCTTCAGTTGTTATGGCGCTAAATTTTGTACTGAAAAGGCTTATGGATTTATAACTTTTATTGTATTGGATTTACTACCAATGTTATACTAGTCGTATTCGATTGGATGGTAGAGCTGTAGATTTTAGCGGGCTTCGTCAGACGATTATCTTGACGACGGTGATGGTGGTGGTAGTTGAAGAAACAAACACATGTATGGTAGCAAGAAACAAAGGCCTTGTTGGCAAGAAACAAAGGCCTTGTTGGCAAGAAACGAAATAAGATGAAATTTGATATAAAATCAATTATATTGCCGATTTTTTTTAATCCCGTAACAAATCAGAGGTCATAGGGGTACCACATTGACTGCAGCGCCAGTAGAAGTGGTGTTTCTTTGGTAGGATAGACTGACGGAGGCCCGTTTGAATTCAGAGTTTATTCTTCTGCTAGACTGGTTGCTACCCAAGGCTATAGAACCCACTCTGTCCTGCTATTTACCTATAGCTGGTTGGGTGGGGGAGAAGAAGAAGAGGATTCATAACTTTCTGAAGGGTATTAGTACGTAAGTGAAGGTAATAGATTCGACTGGAATTCGAACTCGGCTCTCCGATTCCTCAATCCGAGCCTCCACCGTGCCTCTATATTGTCGAAACTACAAACAATCAAGTAAGTGTCTCAAGAAATGCCGTATTACGGTCAATCTCTCGAAATGTGTGCATAAAGCTGCGGTTGCCCTTTGTTGTTTGCCCCAAGTTTAGTATTTGGAGGAAGCAAAATGGCACCGTGGTGAAGTCCGTTTGAAAATGTAAACAGCTGTGCCTGTTACTTAGACTGCCATGCCACGTACGCAAGAGTGAATCGTCCCCATTTAGCTTCGTATTAAGAATCTGCTCAAGAACTGCTGGTTTGTGTAACAAACTCCCAGCAGGATGTTTCCCCAATCACTACGATCTTGACTTCTTCAAATCTAGGGTTAACCGTTATCTTTCCTGCATAGCCCCATGACCCTCGCTGCTTGCCTTTTCTTATGATCATCCAACTTCACACTGTAAACCTCTACCTTTAGTGGCTTTTGGGCCTTGTATATGTTTGAACATCAATATAAAAAAATTTCATTCATTTTCTTAGTTGTCCTTCTGCGTGTGTGTTTATTTCGGAACTGTTGTCGCTGTAGTGATTAAATCATAATGAAGCGGACACCTGACACTATTGTCCAGCTTGTTAAAGGTAAATTAAATATGTAAAATCTTAACGGACATTAAAAAGGAATATTTATAATATATAGGCCGACCGTATATTTTGTGTCTGGGGCTCAATTCGACATTCTGTTTTTGCACTTTGATTTTGGCAGTAATGCAGGTCATTGGGTGAATCATTTAAATATAGAATTTATTTTTTTATTGTTTTGTGAATCGGAAGTGGTGCGTGGTGCCATATGCAGAAGACGAATTTTTTTATTTGTAATTTTGCCGTCATGGTGTTCATATCCTGTTGGTAATAATTTAAACATAACGTGAATCAGATTTGTTGGATTTGAAGTCGAATATATAAAAGAAGCATAGAGGTTGGATTTGAAAATAAATCAGGAAGAATTTCATTTAACAAAAAACGATATTTATTGATGAGTAACTGGAAAAGGTTGATAAGGATTATTGGAATATTCAACAATGTTATGAAAACGACCAAGTGAGACATTGTTCTTATTCTTGATCAAAATAAGGATACAGTGTAACCCGGATATAAGAGAGTTGTCGGGACCGGAGAAGAAGTCTCTTATATCTGGGTTTCTCTTATATCCGGGTTTCTCTTATATCCGGGTTTGATCTATTTTATATACATTAACACAGGCTCTAATTTGGGACCAGAGAAAATCTCTCTTATATCCGGGTTACACTGTATTAGTTTTGACTCTTTTCGAGTGAACGAGAAATTGTTCAACATGCCGGTATTTACAAAGGGAATGGGGTCAGTAAATATATATTTAATACGAGATACATTTTTTTCCTTAGGGGATGAATTTGTAAAGAAACACACAAGAGGGATATTGAAATGTTTCAGTTCGGTGAAGAAGCTTTTATGAACAATAAAAAAAAAATATATATATAAATAAATCCTGATGTTTGCTCAACTCGGGTTAAATTTTGGAAGGGGACTGAAAATCTGTTGATACTATTTCATATTTATAATTTTACGGTCTAATGAAATGAAGTTTTTTGTAATTCGCTAAATGTTGAATACATTTACACAAGTTCAAACTCTTTCAACATAAAAACAAAATTGTGTTTTGATTTATTCAAAAACACATAAACAATATTTTCTATAAAATATTGGAGATGCATGGTTCGTATCTCTGTTTTGGTTATTATAAATAATAAAACACAACCGGTTTTATTCATTGACTTATTTTTTTACAGTTTATCAACCCATTGCAGGTTATTTAAAACCATAAAATATTTTTAGATTTAAGAACATTTTTTTAAACATAATAATGATTTAGTGATACAAGTCTTACTTAATTAATCCGTAGCTGGGGAGAAAAGATGGATTCATGCCTTTCCCAAGGATATTTGCACGTAAATGAATCTAACAAACCCGACTGGAATTGGAACTCGGTTCTTCGATTAACAATTCCGATCCATTATATCACCCGCACATCCAAGCTTACAGCACTTGGTATTCCCAAGCAGTCACTCATCTAGGCACTGACCGGGTTGAGCGTTGCTTAACTTCGGTAATCGTACGGGAACAGTTGTTTCAACTTGATATAGCCGTAAGCCCCTCAACTTATTGAATCAAAAATCATTTTTCCATGCGGACTATTGTCCTCATCTTTGTTGTCATTATCACAACATTTCGATGTGTTCTTTGGCCTTCATCAGGTGCTTGCCGACCCCGGTAACGTTCAAGAGATGTCGAACTGAACTCTTTATTCAGGGTAGATTGTTCTCGCGCCAATGACAATGTTTAGGGAGATCCCTTAGAGTTAATATTTTAGCACTGGTCAGTTATTTTTTCCACCACCCAAGGATGGGGCTATGTCACCAAATTCACGAACCAATGTTTGAAACAATTAGACTATTTGAAATTCACGCAGAAAAAAATCATTCATATTTTATGATAAGCTTTGTTCATTATTGGCCGAATCTTTGTCCGTTCAGCTCGAGCCGTGGCTAGTATATGAAAATAGATCCCGATCACTTTTTGATCACTAATCAAAATCTGTTTGTAAATTGAAGGTGGTCATTTGATCTTCAATGAACCTAAAAATACAGACGTGTTTTATGTTGTCAAACATTAACAAAAATTATTTAGACATAGAAATAAATATTACTTTTTATTGTTCCTTAAGATTTTACATATTTACCTTTAACAAGCTGGACAATAGTGTCAGGCGTCCGCTTCGTTATGATTTAACCACTAAAGCGACAACAGTTCCAAAATAAACACACACCCGGACGGACACAAAATCGACTAAGAAAATGGATGGGATTTTTTATACTGACGTTCAAACATATTCAAGGCCCAAGAGCCACTAAAGGTAGACGGTTATAGTGTGGAGTTGCATGAGCATAAGAAAAGGCAAGTAGTGAATTTCATGGGACTATGCAGGAATGATAACGTTTAACGGTAGACATGAAGATGTCAAGATTGTAGTGATTAATTGCTGGGAGTCTGTTCCATAAGCAGCAGTTCTTGGGAAGATTCTTAATATAGGAATACGAAGGAAATGGCGATGATTCACTCTTGTGTACGTGGCATGGCGGGTCTCAGTTGTAAATGTCAGGGGTTGTGGGACTAAGGAATGTAGCTCGGCAGAACACATGACATGGATATAGCGATAGAGAAACGTGAGGTTACCAATGTTTCATCTGTGGGAAAGGGGTTGTATGGTGGAAAATAATTCATCACCCACAAGGCTGCGTAGATACTTCCGAACTCTTTCAAGACAGGCAAGTGAGGAATGGGCATCACCTGCACAGATATTGCAGCAATAATCCATTTTGGGTCTGATCTTGCTCTTGTAAAGATCAGAGTATAACAGGCGGACTCTGATACTTACTGGAGCGATACAATTGACCGACCATTTTTCCAGTATCTTTAGCAATAGATCAGATATAAGAGTTCCACACGAGGTCTGTCATTTGATTTAGGGCTAACATTCTTTTCACCCAGTAAAAGGCCCAAGAGCCTCTTAAGGGCCTAGGTTACTGTGTGGTGTTGTATGAGTGTAGAAAAAAAAGGTAAAAAGTGAAGTTCATAGTGCTATGCAGGGAGATAATGGATATCAAAGGGTTGTTTGGTGGATGGAAAATAATTAATTTAAGCTCTATCAAAACAGGCAGTTAAGCTTCAGCTAGCTCAGATGTAGCAGCAATACGCCATTTTTGGTCTGATTTGACTCTTATAAAGAATGAATATAGCAGAGAGAGTCAGATACTTACTGGAGTGATACAATGAAGCGACCATTTTCCCAGCATCTTTAGTAATAGATCATATATCTTGTGGTCTGTGGAGAGTTTGTCTCGCAATAGACGTTCAAGACAAGAAGCCTCCCTGAGAGAAGACGCATTCATTAGGATTCATTAGTTCGTGGTCTTCTCGGTTGTGATGGAACGTTATTAGTTTGGTATTGGTCACATTGGATTTTACAATCCAGTTCTTTCTTAAGGATCGGAGTATGCTCTTCGGTATATCATTAATATAAAGTAGAAAAAGTCTAGGATCGGGGACAGAACTTCGTGGGACGCCGGCTCTGATCTTAAGGGCTTTCGATGATCGGTCGTTAACAACGACCTTTAATTGTCCTCGTGATGAATTTATTGTCTAGTTCTTTGCCAATTCTATGAGTAATGACAATTAAGACATCAGCCGTGGACCTAGCAGGGCGAAATCCATACTGGTTACCACTCAAGAGGTTGTTTCGGTTGAGCTGTTCAACAATTGATTGCATGACAGATGTGGACAGAGTGCTATTGATGTTGACTCCCTGTGAATTTCTTTAATTGTATATGGCATCTTCTTTATATGCCGTGTCCCTTCAGGACGTAGGTTATTATAACGACTTCCTGTTCTTTGTCGCTCTTAATAGAATTTGTCTTTTTGTTATCTTTCCCTAAAACCCAGTTCCACCATCCATTTACTCAAGCTCACTGTGTTATCCATTGTTTTCCTCTGTCCCTCTTGCCCTCCATTTGCCCCGTGAGTATCAGATTTTTCAAGCCTTTCATCCTCATTATATGCCCCAGAAACCTCAACTCTCTCTTCTTGATGTTAAGTATTAGTTTCCTTTTTGTTTCCATTTTCTCCAAAACTTCGTCGTTGCTCACATGTTCGGTTGACGGTATCCTCAGCATCCTTCTGTAGTTTATAAAATACCACTCAAGAAATAGAATTGATTGATTTTATAACTGAATTTAACCATAACAATATAGTGGAAATATTGCCCGTCTAATAATTGATTGATATTTGACTCAAGGTCTCTAGTAAGCATATCGGACAAATTCTAGAATTAACTGTAGCAACCGGAGTTATTAGACTTGTGTCAGGAATGTTTTTCTTTTTTTTAGCTAGAGAAAAAGTCGAGAGTTGAAGAGAAATTGACAAATCATTTTATAGACAACTGGCATCGTGTTAAAACAACAATTCTAAAAAAGGGCGATCGATGTAACTAGAATGGTATACCAAACCCAAGCTACCCATGTCTATGTACGTCAACCTGTTCCGGATGCTCATTTCGAAATTTATCGATCAAATTAAGTTTGACCGCTTTCTATCGGCCCACAGTCTAGATTGGAACCGTGAATAGTATTATAGCCATCTGCTAAATCTACCCGCCTCGCAGATATTAAAAAGTGACTGATTTGGTGAAGAAAATCAATCTGCTCCGTGTCATTTGGAGCAGAATTCAACACGCACAGCCTACCTGCCGGATCTGCGAAGACAAACGACCAGGGATTTAGCAAGAAACTCTTTACAAATGTCTATGAAAATTCGACAGAATATATTCTCAGTCGCCTGCACTAAGGCGCATCTCTTTGCACACAATATATATCCATTCTGTGGTACAAATAATAATTGATATGAAAGTTGATACTCACTATTGTATATGGTTGGGTCAGACTAATTTCATTGTCTTTGTTTATTTCCCCAATGTTTTGACCGCCCCATATCCGGTTATTCTCTTGTGTCTCGTGTAATACACACATGTCTTTGAATTATATCTTGATGGATTTTGCACAACCAATCTCTTTCATACACGTCATGATCGATGCTTGCATTTCTGCTTGGGTCGCCTCTTCCTGACCTCAACACTAACAAAATTCAGATAAGAATATCAGATACGTAATTTTAAAATTATGACTGCATATTTTCTTATATACAAATTTCTCTCGTGAATATCAAAGCTGATAATTACCACTAAAAAATGTATTTTAATTAATTTTTTATTGACATTATCATTGTGCTTGATGTGAGATAAAGGAGTTTCATAATGTAATTTTAGCATCTATTTTCGTCAAGAAGAAACGTGTCAATCTGAATAGGAATTGTTGACAATAGTAATCGCTTTTCCCAAAAGGAATCATTTTGGGAGAGCAACTGCTGTCGCTAACAAGGCTAATCATCGTTTGAAGCCGGTCACTTCAGTTTCAAAATTAACAATTCACAAGAAGAAAGAAAAGAAAAATGAAAGCAACAAAGGAACAGTCACACAATCCTCGCCAAATTTTTGTATTTATTTGATTAAAATTGATGGGCTACAAAAATTTTCTAATTGATTTGTAACTAACAATTTTTAATCGACATTATGTATATTCTCTTTCAAATGGTTTATGTGTTTGTTTGTTTGTTTTTCTCCTGCCGTTTTATTCGTTGTTGATGTCAAACGAGTGATTCCATTGCAACACATTGACAAAATTGTTAAAATAAATGAAGACAAAAAATGTTTCTTTGTCTTCGTAAAGTGGAGTTATTTTCAAATGCCAATTCTTCTTCTTTAGAGCATCTCTACAACTTCCTGGATCGTTTGTCTCTCCTCGTCCCTCTATTCTGCCAACCATTTACACAATCTCGTTAGATAAGTTATTTGCTTCTCTCACCTTACCCCCTCTTGCCTTTAATCTGTCTTCTGAGTGTCATATTCACCAAGACCTCATTCCTCATTTTCTCTTCTAGAAATTTCAATGTCTCTTTCTGATTCTGAGTTTGTGTCTGCTTTTTTCATTTTCCTTAAAACTCACACGTTCAGTTCGTGGTATCCTCAGTATCCTTCTGTAGAACCACATTTCTGTTGCCTCAAGCTTCTTCTTAATCTGTGATGAGATTGTCCAGTATTCATTATAATAGGAACGATGTTAAATAACAGTTCAGTCCGCTTTTCTTTGTTTCTAACATAATTTTCCTGTTTCTTAACATCTTGATTAGCTTTTTAAAGGCATTTTTGCTATTCCAATGCACCTTTTGTATTTCAGTGTCACATTTTTCGTCCTCTGTTAAAACACTTCCTACATATTTAACATTTTCTTCTTGCTTGAATTCCAATGTCTCCAGTTCACAGTTCTCATATTGGGTTTTTCCTTTTGCTGACAACCATACATTACAATTGATGTTTAGTCCTTTCTTCAGGCTTTCTTTTACTATCGAGTCTAAGAATTCCTATAATTTTCTTTCTGTGTCATCTGCATATCTTATATTGATAAAACTTTAACCGCCAATAATGAATCCTGATTGGACTTCTAATTCGCTCAGTATCACACCTCACTGTAAAAGTTGAATA